GCGAGACTGAGTAAAGGAAATATATGCCCCTTCTGGTTTTTGTTAAGATTTGATAAATAGTTGAATCCTTGCTGTGCCAGTAATAATTTATTTTAAATTACACAGAAAGAACTCAATTTTAATTAGTTAGTATATGTAAAATGTAATCCCAATTCTAAAAGACTCTATAAAAAATAAATAAACGATTTACACTATTCAAAAGCAGTTTGTTATTTGCCCAAAATATTTTAAATTTATTTGGCATGGAAAATATTAAAAATCTTTTTTTCTTTCGACTTACCTTTTAATATTTATTTAAATACCTGACAGCGTTTGAACGTCATATCTTCAAATGATGCGTAAAAAATGATTGATGGACTGAAAAGGCGAAATTGTAGGTAATTCGATCGAAAAACCTGATGGGTCAAGGTTGCAGAATTATGATTTCCGTTTCGTTTTCCATTGTTATTTCGAGATTTGCGAGGGGGCGCGTTAAGCCGGACCACGCCCCTTCTGGAGCGCTGTTTATTTGACTGTCTGCGTCTGGGGTCTGCATTTCGGTGACATTTTCGCCATTAGCCAAATGTCAATGCTCGACGGCGAGTGGTAAGCACTTATAATAGATGGGATATCCAGTCGGTTGCCATCGGCAACAACAAATGGGGCCCATGGCCCATGGCTTTTGGTCCCTGGCTGTTGGATGTTGGATGTTGGATGCTGGATGTTGGCTGTCAACTGGAGGATTGCGTGGAGTGCAGACGCGGATGCGGATGGGCGATAAAAGAATGCCACTAAGGCCATTTGATTGCCGGCATTGCCCCCACAAGCTGCAGTCGTCTGCGGGATCCTGACAGCGAAATCTTCCCAGGGATAATTTGAATAATTTCACTGACCCAAGCCAATCACCCAGACCAGAAAAACTCCCCCTCCCCCCCGCACCACCTCCCCATTCGGCTGACAAATGGCTTTTAAATCACCTGTCCAGACTTGAGTTAAGAGTTCAGCGCTCCACAGATTTCTTTTTGCATACTTAAGACACTTGGCGTTGACTTGCAATTCGCTGCAAGTGGAATGGATGAGCCCTGCCATTTCCATTTTCTCACCCGCCTTTCCATCCGCTATTTATGGCACGCACGTCTGCCAGCAACGGGGCAACGCGGCGTATGCGTAACCGCAATGAAAAGCCGTATGCCGTGTCCAACTATGAAGCTTTACACGGGGAAAAAAAGATGAGCACGAAATGATTGTGATAGTTGCTATGCTTATTTATATTTATGTGTATATTTACAGAAGCAATTTCTTAATTCAGCATTCATTCTATAAGTAAATTAGTGAGTAATACTTATTATTTTAGGCAGCAATGAAAGATTATTTATTAATTGTTAATCAGACATTACATAACTTAATTGAAAAATACTTTAATCAAATATATGCTGAAAGCTTGCCTAATTAGCAACAATATTGTTAGTATTCTTAGATAAGCATAAGCGTTTGCTCGGCTTCTATTGCAATGAACTTTGACTTCAACTTATACTGCTTATCGTAAACAAACTTGCTGATTATAATACCGGAGAATTAGTTCTTGGAAATGAATACTTGTTTTTCAACGTATTAATTATTCAATGATTAATCACTAGACGTAGCATTAAAAACTATAGACGCTAACGGGGAACAGGTAAGTAGATTGTAACGCTTTGTGATTACTTCCATACAGACTGATGTGAAAATGTGTATTTATCGATCTCAGACCTAATTTTTCTAAGTGCACCGTCAGTTTCGGCCTCAGTTTCAGCTCATCAGGAGTTTTGCCTGGATGACGGCTTATTATCAGCAACGGCAGCACTTTGCACGCCCCGTAGCACATGGAAATTGTTGGGGGAAGTGGAGTGGAGTGGAGCGGAGTGGAGTGGAGTGGGGCAGGTGGGGCAGGTGGGCCGTTGGGCAGAGGAATGCATGCACTTTTGTGATGGATTAACCGGCGCTTAAGCTGCAGTCGAGCGATAAGTGCCGCTCATGGCAGGCCATTTTGTGTGATGCGGCTGCCGCCGCCTTGCCGCCTTTGCCGCCCAGAATTTTCCTGCCCCGAATGCCACACCTGCCTCAACTGCCTCATCTGCCTCACCTGCCACACTTTCTACACGGCCACCTGCCGCGATGGGCAAATGGAGGTGAGCAACTGTAACGGAAGCTGGCAATGAGAGTCGTTTTAAAATTGAAATGTAATTTCCTGCAGCGTGTGGCACGGCTGGCAATAGACACTCGGGACGCAGGAGTCGGATCCTGGGAAATGGTAATGCCCGTACGATCCAACAGGACACGGGACACAGCTCATATGAATATGATTCGCAAGGAGTGAAACTTCATTCGAATGGCAGGCACGTAAGTCAAAGTCAGGGATACCCATAAATAAGTTAGTTGGCCCTCAGGAAATTCTCTCCATTGCAGGCCGGAGGCGGTGGCGGCTTGGGGGCGTGGCTGGCTGAGCAGTTAGTTGATTAACTTTGCCACACTCAATGGCAAATTGTGACTTCAAGACAAGGACTAGTGTGTCGTCCATTTGTAAAAGAGATCCCACAGGGCAAAACAATTTTACCTATTTTCTTCTGCATTTCTGCATTTCTTCTTGAATTTTATACAAAAGTCCTTATTGAGTGTAAGTTTCTGGTAATTAATACTAAAAATAAAAACGGGTAGAATATTTTTTTTAAACTACCTCTTTTAAGTGAATTATGGAAAAACTATGCACGGTTTCATTTTAAAAATCCAAGGAAAACTAACAACATTTTAAATACGTTCTTTAATTATATTTTGAATTATTCTTAATGTTTTTCATTTTTTAATTTTCAAAAATGGACTTCAGTTTCCAGTGCCATTTTCTTTTATATTAATTTTAGTATTATATACTAGTTTTAATTTGACAAAATAAAATAAATACAACATTTTGAAAAATATTTTTGTTTAATTTAAAGGACGCAAAGATAATATAATATAGTATCTCTTTCTGTTAAATCATAGTTACGTTTTCTTCTAGTCTGGAACATATGTACTGTACTTTTAGTTTATTTAATACTTTCAAGCTTATTTGCACCTAATTAAGAAGACAATCTGCCCACAATTGAAACACCAAAACTCATTGACCACATTGTTTGGCTTCACGACTTGATCTTGTCTAATTTTACACATGGTCAAGTGATTGTTTCATAACGCAGATTCGGTTACCCTTATTGTTGCGGCTATTAAATGGATTGCTTGTTCCATTGTGCACTAATGCCTCCATCTATTATTCTGCGATGATAGGTCCACCCCGATGCGCCACCCTACCCCCTCCCCCCTCTCTTAGCCAAGGCCAACAAAGATGCTTAAATGCATTTCGTGACCGCCGGCATTTGCCGCTCGTTGTTGCATGTGGATGCGTTTGATTGGTTTTAAATTACATTTCGTAATCGTTTCTATGTAGCTCCGAAATTGACGATGCTGCAAAGGACTGTTGCAACACCCAATAATATTCATATTCAAATTAATTATGCACGGAAAAAGCGAGGTCAATTTTTTGCCACAGATTATGCAACTGCAGAATTGTGGCCATTAGATATTGGCATTTCGAGTAGATCAAACACGAGCGTATGCAAAGCAATTAAATTAATTGGATTATATATGTATGTTGAAGTATTTGCGATATGAAATTCCATATTTAAACGTAATTATTCATGCCCATTCCCTCCCCAAACTAGCCATCGAATTCAGTGTGTAGTGCCCGATTTCGGTAATTTGATAATGGTGACATTCTGCATTAGCATTTGACACAGATGACATGGCCAGAAACAGCTCGATACTCGAACTTCCCCTGGGTGCTGCCTCCAAAGTTTGTGCAGCTGCACTTCCGTTGCGATGACGGAAGAGCCGGCTCCGTTGGGTCACAAAAAAACACAAAAAAAAAAAAAAAAAAAACAAGAAACCGGGGGGAAAGATAAACATTTGCCACACCGGCTGCTGGAATGGCCATCAATGGCAGAAACAGAATCGCGCTGCACGACAATCATCGATGAATTGGACGGCAAAGTTTTCGTTTTCCAACCGGACAAGCGACTCCATCTCCTGTGATTCCGATTCCTATTCCTATTGCGACTCCAACTCGGAATCGGACTTTGGTTGCTTGTCTCAGCTGCTGGAACAACTCCTCCTTGTGCTCCTGCTGCTCCTTCTGCTCCTGATGCTCCTGCGAAGTTCACTACAGTTGAGAAATTACTTATTTTTCAATTGTTGGCCCTTGCTGGCCGGAATGGCATTTGGCATTGTTGTAGCCGCGCCGGCATTGCCGTGCAATCTTGATTACTGTCAGTGGCAGCAGTTGTATTTAAAATTGGCTAACAAGTTGGCTTCCCTGGCCGGGCAAAAGAATCCCGGCGATGCTCGTTTGCTGCCGCTTTTCACTACTCTCTCGGGGGGTAAACATATTTCTGGTGTCCTTTTATGTCCTTTTAGTGGCTTTAAGCTTGGATTGGCTTTTAAAGATTTTAACTTAGTTAAGCTAAGTTAAGGCAATACAAACCTTATTTGTATTTTATTCAATGATTAATTAGTAATCAAACTAGAGAAAAAAGAACTAGCCTGACGAAACTAAAAAAACAGGTATCTTTTTGGCTTTACGGAAGATTTTTTAAATCTAAGCTTTAATGATTTTATTTCATTACTATTTCTGCTAAGCTTCTAGTTATATTTTGTATTATTTAAAATTAATTCTAACATATTTTTCCAGCTTAGGCATCCTGAATAAAGGCCTTCCTATAAGCCTAGAAAACCTGATAGAGTATTTAAGCATCATGTCTCTTACTATTTTGTTCCATGTTACTTTTCATTTGGTTTTGGCCAGCCGCCGTTTCTTTGTTGCCTTTTCCCATTTTCCCGTTCCTTTTCATCCCCCCGCCCCCACTATTTCCTCCCACTCCTATCTGCGAATTTTCGCAATGATCTGTCCGCCAGCCATTTATTTTGCACCCCAAAATCTCCCCACCGCACAAATGTTTGCCTGTGCCTGCTGTTTTTGTATTTCAGATGCATTGTGTACATTTGTTTGGCAATAATTTGATGTTCATTGGGATATTGCCATATTGCCGTGATTGCCTGCGGGTCATCACCATCAAAATATTTGTAACACGGCTCCCGCAATTAGGGCTTTATGAAATGGCCAACAAAGTAAACGTTTTTCTTATTGCGAATGGCAAAGACGAACGGACGGTCGGCCTTAAAAACCTTGCGATCGGGATTATCTTTTACGACTTCGGGTTGAACGTCTAAAATATGGGAAAGTCAATAAATGTATTCTTTAAAATTTCAAAAAAACATTACCCGTTTCCGGACCAGTTTCACAGCCAGTTTCATTAACATTTAGAAATAAGCTGTGCCTGGCCTCCGAAATCCTTTGCAGTGATTTCTTGCCAAAAAGGCCACTTAAGTCTGCTTGTCCAGGCTCAAAAACCCGATTTATTCCTAACTAGAATATAGATTAAATAAATATTTAAGTAAAAGCTATAAATATATGTTTTCCTTACCTTTTGCAGTGGTACTTTTAGATCTATATTGAACTCGATTCTAAATTTAGGAATTATCACATCCACATCGTTCATCAAACTTTTGGCAGCCACCTCATTCATGTCCAGCTGGCCCAGTTTTTCCTCCAATTTTGGCAATCCATCAATATCCCTGGGCAGGATAATCATCATGGTCAGGTTAGACTTCTCAAACGGCAGCTGCAAAATCTGTGACTTAAGTTTCTTGGACTCGCCATATCGAAACTTGCCGATCTGTTGCATCATGGGTAGTTCCATTCGTTGGAGAGGATTAATCCAGAAATCATCGACCTTGGTCAGTTGCTCAGGGAATACATTGGCCCACTTGGCACGAAAGAACAAGGAATTGACCAGAATCACACTGGACTCGAGACTGAACACATCTGGGGTGAACAGGTTTCTCACAGTGTAAAACGTTTGCTTTGCCAGCCACTTGTTCACTTTCTTCACCGAATCCTCGGGATTCAGATAGTTAAGTGGATCTGCCTGAGCGTTAAAGAACTCCATGGCTCGGGTATTGAAGTCCGGTAGTATTTTCTCTTCTTCATTGAAGTACAATCGGGTCACGAGACGCAAGGCCACTCCTTTTTTCACACAAGAACACTCTTCGCTCCAGGTTTCCGCATGATGTTCGGCGATCTTCGACTTATTGCCCACTCCCAGGATCAATTTGGAACGCAGTTCATCCGCACTTTTCCCGCCGGCCCCCATGAAAACCAAGGTCATGGCACTACGGGCAGCCGCCGGGGAAACCATCATATTCACTGGGGGATCCACATCGTTGACGGCCCGGAATAGATTCCGGGCGAAGACTATGGGACTGGCGCTTAACGGTGGCGCCGTAGTGCCCCCGGAGGCCATCGGGATCAGGCAGATGATCAGTAAGACTACGAAAAGGAAACAGGCACAGGCAGGTGTGATTTTATACAATACTTTATACACTCTGTTCTACAAATTATCTTACCCCATTCGCTTGGCATGTTGCGATCCAACTGAGGCTCACCCATGATCTGTAAACAATAAAACAATGAGTTGTGGGTGCTGAGTCACAAACTTGTTCGAGATCATCTCTGGAGATTGAGTCGCACCTAAACCGGTTACTTTGGGTCAGCAATTAATCAAAGTAAGGTGTATACAGGAAGCCCTTAAAATACTTTTAAGTTCTCTAAAAATCTGTGTTCTCAACTTGGTTTGTATTTTTGTGTCGATTTTTCGTAATTTTAATGGTGTTACCCCTTTCCAAATTTTCGAAAAATGGCTTTGCAGAAAAGTGTCCCAAATCCTGCACTTCTAAGCCCATAACTTTTCTTACAGATATCCGATTTCAAAGTGGCTTACCTCAAAATGATTTTGGTTTTATTCTCTAAAAATCTGCATTTTCAGTTTGTTTTGTATTTTGGGGTCGATTTTCCGTCATTTTAATGATGTTACCCCTTTCCAAATTTTCGAAAAATGGCTTTGCAGAAAAGTGTCCCAAAACCTGCACTTCCAAGTCCATAACTTTTCTTACAGATATCCGATTTCAAAGTGGCATACCTCAAAATGATTTTGGTTTAATTCTCTAAAAATCTGCATTTTCAGTTTGTTTTGTATTTTGGGGTCGATTTTCCGTCATTTTAATGATGTTACCCCTTTCCAAATTTTCGAAAAATGGCTTTGCAGAAAAGTGTCCCAAATCATGCACTTCTAAGCCCATAACTTTTCTTACAGACATCCGATTTCAAAGTGGCATACCTCAAAATGATTGTGGTTTAATTCTCTACAAATCTGCATTTTCAGTTTGTTTTGTATTTTGGGGTCGATTTTCCGTCATTTTAATGGTGTTACCCCTTTCCAAATTTTCGAAAAATGGCTTTGCAGAAAAGTGTGCCAAAACCTGCACTTCCAAGTCCATAACTTTTCTTACAGATATCCGATTTCAAAGTGGCATACCTCAAAATGATTTTGGTTTAATTCTCTAAAAATCTGCATTTTCAGTTTGTTTTGTATTTTGGGGTCGATTTTCCGTCATTTTAATGATGTTACCCCTTTCCAAATTTTCGAAAAATGGCTTTGCAGAAAAGTGTCCCAAATCATGCACTTCTAAGCCCATAACTTTTCTTACAGACATCCGATTTCAAAGTGGCATACCTCAAAATGATTGTGGTTGAATTCTCTAAAAATCTGTGTTTTCAGTTTGTTTTGTATTTTGGGGTCGATTTTCCGTCATTTTAATGATGTTACCCCTTTCCAAATTTTCGAAAAATGGCTTTGCAGAAAAGTGTGCCAAAACCTGCACTTCCAAGTCCATAACTTTTCTTACAGATATCCAATTTCAAAGTGGCATACCTCAAAATGATTGTGGTTTAATTCTCTAAAAATCTGTGTTTTCAGTTTGTTTTGTATTTTGGGGTCGATTTTCCGTCATTTTAATGATGTTACCCCTTTCCAAATTTTCGAAAAATGGCTTTGCAGAAAAGTGTCCCAAATCATGCACTTCTAAGCCCATAACTTTTCTTACAGACATCCGATTTCAAAGTGGCATACCTCAAAATGATTGTGGTTTAATTCTCTACAAATCTGCATTTTCAGTTTGTTTTGTATTTTGGGGTCGATTTTCCGTCATTTTAATGGTGTTACCCCTTTCCAAATTTTCGAAAAATGGCTTTGCAGAAAAGTGTGCCAAAACCTGCACTTCCAAGTCCATAACTTTTCTTACAGATATCCGATTTCAAAGTGGCATACCTCAAAATGATTTTGGTTTAATTCTCTAAAAATCTGCATTTTCAGTTTGTTTTGTATTTTGGGGTCGATTTTCCGTCATTTTAATGATGTTACCCCTTTCCAAATTTTCGAAAAATGGCTTTGCAGAAAAGTGTCCCAAATCATGCACTTCTAAGCCCATAACTTTTCTTACAGACATCCGATTTCAAAGTGGCATACCTCAAAATGATTGTGGTTGAATTCTCTAAAAATCTGTGTTTTCAGTTTGTTTTGTATTTTGGGGTCGATTTTCCGTCATTTTAATGATGTTACCCCTTTCCAAATTTTCGAAAAATGGCTTTGCAGAAAAGTGTGCCAAAACCTGCACTTCCAAGTCCATAACTTTTCTTACAGATATCCAATTTCAAAGTGGCATACCTCAAAATGATTGTGGTTTAATTCTCTAAAAATCTGTGTTTTCAGTTTGTTTTGTATTTTGGGGTCGATTTTCCGTCATTTTAATGATGTTACCCCTTTCCAAATTTTCGAAAAATGGCTTTGCAGAAAAGTGTCCCAAATCATGCACTTCTAAGCCCATAACTTTTCTTACAGACATCCGATTTCAAAGTGGCATACCTCAAAATGATTGTGGTTGAATTCTCTAAAAATCTGTGTTTTCAGTTTGTTTTGTATTTTGGGGTCGATTTTCCGTCATTTTAATGATGTTACCCCTTTCCAAATTTTCGAAAAATGGCTTTGCAGAAAAGTGTCCAAAAACCTGCACTTCCAAGTCCAAAACTTTTCTAACAGACATCCGATTTCAAAGTGGCTTACCTCTAAATGATTGTGGTTTAATTCTCTAAAAATCTGTGTTTTCAGTTTGTTTTGTATTTTGGGGTCGATTTTCCGTCATTTTAATGATGTTACCCCTTTCCAAATTTTCGAAAAATGGCTTTGCAGAAAAGTGTGCCAAAACCTGCACTTCCAAGTCCATAACTTTTCTTACAGATATCCAATTTCAAAGTGGCATACCTCAAAATGATTGTGGTTTAATTCTCTAAAAATCTGTGTTTTCAGTTTGTTTTGTATTTTGGGGTCGATTTTCCGTCATTTTAATGATGTTACCCCTTTCCAAATTTTCGAAAAATGGCTTTGCAGAAAAGTGTCCAAAAACCTGCACTTCCAAGTCCAAAACTTTTCTAACAGACATCCGATTTCAAAGTGGCTTACCTCTAAATGATTGTGGTTTAATTCTCTAAAAATCTGTGTTTTCAGTTTGTTTTGTATTTTGGGGTCGATTTTCCGTCATTTTAATGATGTTACCCCTTTCCAAATTTTCGAAAAATGGCTTTGCAGAAAAGTGTCCAAAAACCTGCACTTCCAAGTCCAAAACTTTTCTAACAGACATCCGATTTCAAAGTGGCTTACCTCTAAATGATTGTGGTTTAACTCTCTAAAAATTTGTATTTAAGGCTTGGTTTGTATTTTGAATTAAACGGTTGGAATGATTTCATTGTTTTGGATGTCAGTATTATTGTTATGGAATAGTTGTCGTGCTCATTGACGCTGTCGTTGTTTTAAGTCAGACGCTATTGTGTTCGTTATTGTTTAGCTGGGTTTGTTTTGCCGGCTCGCATCGTTGCCAATTTTTTGTCTCGACTGGCAAATATTTTCGCAGCCCTCGAGATGAGGGGTCGAATTGGATGGAAATCGGGGAAAATTGAGGGGGAAATCGGGGAAAATTGAGGGGGAAATCGGGGAAAATGCAGTGGGGCTTGGCATTGTTATTTGCATGCCACGACAGCAAGTCAATAATGTCAATGTATTGGCAGTTGCTTTGGCGGTTCACCAATCGCCCGTCCCTTTCTATTGGCAGCTGTGTGCATATACCGCTCTCTTTCTAATAACCATACTCTCTACCTTTCTCTGTCTGTTTACGGTGATGTGTGTGTGTGTGTGTTTATGCGGGAGTGACTTAAATGATGTCTACACATTCCTAGTTGACAGTGAATGGCGCCCTCTCATTTTGTGCTTACTCTACCCCTCTCTTTCTCTATTATTCTAGCCGTCTCTTTCGCATAAAGAGACTGCAGTTATGCATTGCTGTGCACAGATTTCGCGCTTGATTGCTCTGCTTATGCGCCTGATGCGTTTTGTATTTATATTTCAATTTCATTTCGTTCACCTTTTGACGTCACGCTTTCTACATGTCTAGGCACCTGCCTTTGTCTATGTGTGTGTGAGTATCTGTGTGTCAGCCCTGAGTGTGTGTGTGTGTTTGTGAGTATCTGTGTGCCTTCCATTCAATCATGCATTTGTTCATGCACTCGGCTGGCGCAAATGAACAAATTTCACGTCTGATTGAGCCATTTAAGTGCGACAACTCGCCTGCCTAATCGACCCCCATTCGCCATTCTCCCGTTTTCCATTTCCCATTTTCCATTTTCCATTTCCCATTATCAGGCAATTTCAATGGATTTACAAATGCGTTTAATTTGCAATATTTTGATCGCATTACGATGAGCCGAAACTTTTGCCCATAATGCAATTATAATTGAATTCTTTTGTCTTCGTCATAGGCAACTTCTTCGTCGCTGCTCAAGTGCGAATACGCTGGGGTATCAAATTCAAATCGCGAACTAATTGCATTTTCATCAAGTAGCAAGTAGCAAGTGGCAAGTACCCAAAAGCGCCCCAAGGTAGGCAGCATATTCCGCGTGGCTTCGATATTTTCTGTATTATGCGGCTTTGATGGCTTAGGCAATGCCGGCAAAATGAAACAATTCGCTGAGCGGCAAGTGGGACATGGAGGAGGTTTCCCTGTAGCTTTTCCTATAGCTTTTCCCGATCCAACTAACCAAGCAGCAGCTGCTGCATTGGAAAACTCACACAGAAATTTAGCTTGGCTGCCCCCTTCAGGCTATCATTTTCGATTGCGAAAGTTTCTGTGTGCTGTGTTGCGGTTGCCGCGCATCGAGAAGTACTCAGCCAACTAGTTTGCGGCTCGAAACCCCTTTTCGATCCGCCCCAGAAGACTCCTTGGAGGAGTTCCTTAGAGCAGACCGCAATAAATACGAAATTTGACTGGAATATTGAGCATTGAACATTGAGCAGCAACCAACAACCGACAATAGTGAATTGATTGCCTCGACAGTGTTCGGGAATTAACCTTTTTTGGCCCCGGCATATATGGTAATTTGATTTGATGGCCAAATCAATTCTGCAATGGCGAGTGTAACTGTAACTCTAACTGTAACTGAAACTGAAACAGGACCTTATTCAGTTTGCCAGCGACTACCGGATGCTATTTGCCCAATTCTCAGCAGCT